ATGAACGACTAGAGCTGCATCACATTCACTGTTAATATCAAACAATCACATTAAACACAATTGAGAAGTACAAACACATCTGAATCGACTGCTTGTTTGGGTGGTCTACTCACGCGAAAGGTGGCGAATGAGGCGACGGTCTCGAGCAGATTGATAGCCCCAAATGCTGGCTCGGTGCCGCACTTCGAACTCGGCCCGAGTCTGCCATGGCACGTTCTCCGTAAGCTCCCACGTGAGATCGTTGAACCCCTCCCATTGCACGAGGTAAAGCACGAGCGTATAAATGGACCGCTTTGCCCACAAGTGACGCACTTCATATCTGTCCTCGGGAGCTTCTTTGCCAGCGCCAGCCGGCCACCACCCCGAATTAGAACGCTGTCGTCTACTTCAAATCAGCGTCGAGGTCAGACGGGGCGGTAGTCACGATGGCGCGCTACGTAGTTCGCCGTAAGAAAGCGTTAGCCTGACAAAGGATCAAAGCCAGAGGCGTGTCGTTGGTGAGTGTTGCGTGTCACCATGTTTGCTGCTGAGTTCTTGACGTGAAGAGGTCTAAAAGAAGAATGAAGTTGTCTTCGCTTTGAACTTCTACTCAGGTGCCTGTGTACCGCATCGCAAATAGCAGCGGAACATCCCATAAAGTAACCACTCTCGATGTTAATCTCGAGCCATATATTTTATATTTTTGTGCACCTGTTAACTATAAAATTTAAATTCTTGAAAAACAGCAGTGTACATAATGTGACTTTACATAACCTGCAAAATAATAAATTCGTTTCAAAATCATCGATTTAAGTTTGCGGTCGTTATTTTACTTTCAGTTTGTTTTTTTTGGGGGGGGGGGGGGGTCTGAAGTTGATGCCAAGGTCAAAACAACTTCAACCGAATTTCTGAAGTGTTAGCACTTACATGAACTACCTGTCGAAAACAGTATGTCGATAACCTACAAGACACGACCTTGTTCTATCAAAATGTCGGGCTCGATTCGACTTCTTTGAGGCTGCGAAAACTTTATGGGGTCGGGAAAAGTCGTCTCAAGGGTAGGCAGTGGTGGTATTGCATGTTAATCTACCGTGGCCTAAACATTCATCTGTTAGTCGAGTACGCCTAAAGCACCTGTACTACTATCGCCGCTACCAGCGGGTTAGTAGTAGGGCCGCCGCCACGCTGCCACGCCTGGTGGAGCGGCTGGCCCCGAGATGCCGGCTAATGATAATTCTACTCTGCAGCCGCTTAGTGTCTTATCAGCTCGAGCAGCAACGCAGGGTACCCGCCAGGACCACGATAGCGCGGTGCGCAAATTTGAAGCATTTTTGAGGCTCGAGCACCGGTTCTCGTATGATGATGGTAGTGATGTGGATGTGGAGAATGTGGAGAATGCTGGACACCTGAAGTATTTGAGCTCCATCCGGGTCGTGGTGGAAAGGTAAACGGGTACAACACTTTTTAGGGAGAACCCTCTATGGTACCATCAGCTTCGTGCATCGCAAGAGAAAGACCTTAAAAAAAGTGCCTCCTGGAACTGCACCAGCTAATCGAGCTCCGATGATAACACCTGAGGATCTCCGTATCATTCGAAACGCGCTATTTGCCGAAAAAACTGTTCTAGCGATAAAAACCAGGACGCTGGCGAACGTTCAGTGGTCTGTGAAGGGGAGAATATCCGATATAGTCGGCCTAGATTTTGGTGACATTCAATGAGTGGACGATGCTATGCTTTGCCAGATCGTGCGAAAAACGTTAGCTAAGGAGCAAGCGTTATCTTTGGTATGCTCCTCATAGTCTTGCCGTCCAAATTGTTTCCGACCCGTACAACGCATCCTTCCGACTTTTCCTCCTAGTTGAAGCTAGTGGAGTCTCGAATCGTGAAGCCAGCCACATCAACGGCACTCACTAGCGGTTGTTTGACTGCGAACCAGCTCACCCGTGGGCTAAGGTCGCATTCTGCCCGCCGCGGAGCAGCAACGCGAGTGGCATCGAATCGTGGCATACATCTAGCTGATGTAGCCAACCGAAGAAACTGGAGTATGGACCAGATGATGAAGTTGTTTGCATATATTACGTCTAGGACCAGCAGTGATTTAAAAGTCGGGCATTGCTTTATCGAGCTGAATGGTTGGTACACGCGCCGCAGCTCGCACCTGGAGCGACCACTGTGGTTGATGAGTCTGTAGTTCAGTAAAAAATGCAATGGGCCTTTTTGTTATGTATGTGGACCAGTTGAGAGCGGCGAAGTTTATATCTACGCTGGCAGCATCCCTGATTTTGAAAATGAGGACACTGCGCAGATCTTGGAGGGACGCTTCAACTTCATCTACGGAGACGCGCACGGCGTCACGTATCTTTTGGACCCTCGCTATCCTGAGCGTGGCATGGACAAGAACACGCTGGCGCAAGTGAACGGCTTTGTCGTCGCCTGAGACAGTAGGGCTCTACGGCTGTAAAGTTGGTGAAGTATCTTGGCATGAGTCGGGACACGTCGAGGGAGGCGAAGCTCATGAAGGGCAAGAAGCGGGCGATTCTCGAGTATTGGCGCGTAATGTTTCGGTCCCCTCTTACGCGAGCTTGCGCTTGTCGTGTTCTCTGCAGCCTGTTCCGGTGCGACCGCAGAGCGAAACGTCTCCGCCCAACAACTTCGTACACTCGCAGGCTTGTAACCGCGCCAGGGACCCGATCGTCCAGAATTTGGTCTTCACATTTTTCAAAACGAAGAACTTCGACGACTAAAACACAAGCCCTCCTACGACATGGTTGAAGATCTGGCGAGCGCAAGATTGGAGGTCAAATCGAATGCTAACGAGGACAGCGGCTATGAGTACTACTAACCCGCTGGTAGCGGCGATAGTAGTACAGGTGCTTTAGGCGTACTCGACTAACAGATGAATGTTTAGGCCACGGTAGATTAACATGCAATACCACCACTGCCTACCCTTGAGACGGCTTTTCCCGACCCCATAAAGTTTTCGCAGCCTCAAAGAAGTCGAATCGAGCCCGACATTTTGATAGAACAAGGTCGTGTCTTGTAGGTTATCGACATACTGTTTTCGACAGGTAGTTCATGTAAGTGCTAACACTTCAGAAATTCGGTTGAAGTTGTTTTGACCTTGGCATCAACTTCAGACCCCCCCCCCAAAAAAAAAAAAAACTGAAAGTAAAATAACGACCGCAAGCTTAAATCGATGATTTTGAAACGAATTTATTATTTTGCAGGTTATGTAAAGTCACATTATGTACACTGCTGTTTTTCAAGAATTTAAATTTTATAGTTAACAGGTGCACAAAAATATAAAATATATGGCTCGAGATTAACATCGAGAGTGGTTACTTTATGGGATGTTCCGCTGCTATTTGCGATGCGGTACACAGGCACCTGAGTAGAAGTTCAAAGCGAAGACAACTTCATTCTTCTTTTAGACCTCTTCACGTCAAGAACTCAGCAGCAAACATGGTGACACGCAACACCCACCAACGACACGCCTCTGGCTTTGATCCTTTGTCAGGCTAACGCTTTCTTACGGCGAACTACGTAGCGCGCCATCGTGACTACCGCCCCGTCTGACCTCGACGCTGATTTGAAGTAGACGACAGCGTTCTAATTCGGGGTGGTGGCCGGCTGGCGCTGGCAAAGAAGCTCCCGAGGACAGATATGAAGTGCGTCACTTGTGGGCAAAGCGGTCCATTTATACGCTCGTGCTTTACCTCGTGCAATGGGAGGGGTTCAACGATCTCACGTGGGAGCTTACGGAGAACGTGCCATGGCAGACTCGGGCCGAGTTCGAAGTGCGGCACCGAGCCAGCATTTGGGGCTATCAATCTGCTCGAGACCGTCGCCTCATTCGCCACCTTTCGCGTGAGTAGACCACCCAAACAAGCAGTCGATTCAGATGTGTTTGTACTTCTCAATTGTGTTTAATGTGATTGTTTGATATTAACAGTGAATGTGATGCAGCTCTAGTCGTTCATTTTGGGAACCAACCACTTGGTCAAGTTGGTGAGCAGATACATGACAAAGTATACAACAAGTTCAACGGGATCGACCTACCAGCGGTCAGAGATGCCACGCAGCTTCTGGATGGAATTAGGAGCGATGAACTTGACGAGACCAAGATCCTCCCTCTGCTCGATATCGGCGATTTCGCCATTGCAGAGGTCTCAATCCAGCACATCCTCGACTACGTTTACTATAAGGACGGTGGGTTGCTACAAAAAAACTACAGGCTTTCCAAGATGGAGTTATTTATTGTGTTGACTTGGAAGGCACTGTCTAAGTTTACTACTATATCGCTAGAAGGGTCGCAGGATAACGTATGTAGCCCCGCAGTACATTTGCGTTGTTCGCACTGCAAGCACGACACACCAGCCAATGGCAGCTAAACATCCCGTCATCTTCCACTGGATCTTGAATATTACTTGTTAATCCTTGCTAAATGTCCGTTAAAAAAGCGCAAAGCAGTTGCATCATAGAGTGGACATACTTTCGTTATCTGAGCTAGACAATATCCAACCTAACGCTAGAAATCTCTTAGCACTGGAGCTGGAAGAGAGTGCCATGACAGCGGTATAGTCCAGCGTGGGGCTAAACAGCAAAACAAAAAGCGCAAAGCCGCAAACGTAGCTGGGATAGTAGCGGGGGGGGGGGGGGCTAGCATGTATAGCATGTAGACGCAGTAGCGCGGGCAGCGGCGCCGCCGTAACGCAGCGTCCTGACCACGGTAAATCACCACTGATCAATGCCCACTAGCAGGATCCAGGCAAAAATTGACTCCGTAACACCGCCCGTTGCTCTCAACAATCATGATACGAGATCTACAGCAGCATCACACTAACCGTATAGGGGAGACACATTAAGGCATACTCAAGCACCGCTAAAACACCTTTAATAATTGGCCATGACGACGCAGCTTCCACCGTGGTAACACTTGCCTTCTGTACCGTCGTTTGGTAGAATGAAGGCAAAGAGTAAAATGCCCCTGCTTAAGTCACAACTTTCATTTAGGTTGAGTATTGAAAGATGTGATGCCACCCTCATTGCATCGTGAGCCTGTCGGGGCAAGTACAGGGATAGGAATTTCACCCCCCCCCCCCCCCCGAAAAAAAAAATAAATAATAATAATTGGGGTCGAAGTCCCCACTTACATTGACTTAATCCCTCAGGGGTAGAGGAGACATCTGTACTGGGGACTCACCTTAAACCGAACTCAAATGTTACTTGGTTTAAGATACATTTGTCTTTATTCCAAGGGGTCCTAGTTCTATAATCAACAAGTTGGTGTTAGTTGTACTACTATAGTTAGTAAAGTGGAGATATAAAATTTGGCATTAGTACCGGCTAAATACCAATCAGCTTGAAATTACCGGTGTCTCGAAATCAAGGTGCGGACTGCGTACTGCGGATCTGCGAGCGCTCATTCACGTCAGCAAGATGTGGGGCATGAACAGTTATATAATAAGTATGGTAGTATAACCAAGAAGCGACTGGTGTGCCGCATGTGCGGCGCGCCCAAGTCGCTTCCGGAATCAGTTTGTTAGAATGAGGTCCCCAAAGGCTCTGTAAAGGTTTAAGTGTAAAGTGTACCCGCTGGCATTAAGGCGCTTTCCCATTGGTTAAGGGAGAGCCAATCATAGGAGCCAATCAGGGGGCGCCCTGTTGGCGACTGCTCGTGTGGTGATGGTTTGACGGTATTCGGAGAGAGCTCACTTCGCCTTTTGCCAACGACTGAGCACTATTCTATTAGAGGGCATTAAGAGATAAATAAAGCTTAAGTTTGACTAACCGCAACTGAGTTTTAACATTTCAAGTACTGAATGCTCGAAAATGGTCAAGGCCAACCGAGCTACCTTCGCGGGGCTTAAGTTCAATGGGGACCCGAACGACTTCCAGCGATGGAAAGACGCCGTGGTCGCACATCTCGCGAACAACACCAACAGCCTCGAGGTCTCTGAGATTCAAGCCGGGAGGACCGCGCCCCGTCACGGGTTCCAGGATTTGCTCCTGGGCCCTGCCCATATCGTGGATCCATGACCAGATGCTCCCGATGCTGCTCGCAATCAGGTGGCTCTGCTGGGCGAGGTGGATTCCTACATAAAGGACATCTTCAACCAGACCCTGCCTCATTCATACATGAATCAGCTGAGTACACCACTCTCCGCGCAAACGGTTGCGGCGTTTTGGCAGCAACTTGAGGTTGACCTTGGGAAGTGCGTCGCTATGGGCATGGTGGAGTTGATCATGGAATTTTAGAAAACCATGACTGATGATTTCAAATCCGTAGGCGAGCTCTTTCATTTGCTGCGCAACGTGAGAAACCGGCTGAACCGCCAAGGGCAAGAAACTCTACGTGTGCACTTTGCTGCCAAGTCGGCTGATGGTTGGGATGGTGCTTGCACTACTACCGGGCTATCTTTGGGGACCTAGCATCACCTTCTCGCAGGAGGAATTCACCCTGGAGAAAATTGAAACAAAGATGAGCTTAATCTTCGGCAATAAGAGTAAGATCGAGATTGAGGCGATGGACAAGACGACTCAGCGCCCGGTTGAGATCCCGGTCAACTACGCTGCCAGAGGAATGGCTAGCACAAAGAAGGGACCGATGAAGAAGTCTGACAAGCGCAAGGCGATGCCTCTGCCGATGGACGATGAGCGCGTGAACGCCTTCTTCTACTACAACGGCGTGCACAACACATGAACGGACCACCCATCGTGGTGGTCGTAAATGTATGTGGCCATTGGTGTACCTTACGCCAAGGTCGAGGAAGTGTTCAAACCTCTAACAGACATCGCATCTGTTAGAGTAACAACTGACTGTAGCCACTTGTGCGTGTAACCCCGTTTCAACATCCCCCCGTCAAGGTTAGACGTACCGGTCCCGGCACGTCAACCACCATTGACCGCTTGGTCAATGCGTGACGTTGAAGAGAGCGCTCTCGTTATGGAACGAGCGCGTCGAAGTTGAAGCCCTCTGGCGCAGCAGCGGAGAACCTCTCTGCTGCTGAGTAGCATGCGCGGCAACGTGCGACGCGCGTCGCGCGTCGCTGCTGCGGGGGCAGGCACCTATATCTGCCCTCGAAGTGTCTTCGGGCGCTGCTGTTAACAGCAGCGCTCGTATGACGTTCCAGTATGTAGCGCATGGTTTGCTTCGTATGCCCTCACCAAGTCTGGAACGTCTTGGAGCAAGACGTTCCGTGACTCCCATGTATTTTGGTTGGGAGGCAATCCTCTCCAACGAATTCGATAACGAACCGGCTGCCGGTTCGTTTTCGGGATACTATGGTTCACAATACGTTCAACAATCCAGCGTGTTGAGCCGCGGGCGTCGCGGATCGGAGGCGGCGATGGTGGGAACACGCCCCCGGTATGGTCAACCTGGGGTTGACCTTGGCCCGACGCTCGAGGAGCAGGTTGCTGCTGTGGAACAGCATCAGAGCCGGGAGTTCACCGCTCTGAAGCAGGAGGTGGCGATCCTGAGAGCTCAAGCCGCTCAGGGTTCGCAGACGGCATCGGACATCTCTGTCGACGTGGGAGGTTGCGTCGCACGCTTGGCCCAGCGCGTAAACGCGCTGGAGCAGAGATTCGCTCCCGCTGGTGTGACGCGGTGTCGATCCCTAAATTCGGGTGAATGCACCTGGACCTGGGAAGTTCCAATGATGTGGAGCTTGGTGATACTGGATGATTTGGAGTCTCCTATAAAAACAAGGGTAATGTCTGCGAATGGACGCTGAATCCCGGAAGATAGATCAATGTGGCCGAGTTGATCCCGTTCCATGCAGTGCAACGGAATGCGAGCGATCCTCCCCAGTATATCTAAGTACAGCAGAACTCGACTCTGGCTTACAACCTGGGAGCTGAGGCACTTCTCAGATTCCCCGTTGTTTTCCCGGAATAACGATTCCCAGACTTCGCGTTCCCAGACTTACCTCCCACAAAATTTCAAGAACGACCTCGGCTTGAGGCGTTCCGAGGTTCCAAACCCAAGAACACTTGGTTTCACTATGGCATCTTCCAAGATCCTAGGTGTACCCAACAACTCCGAGAAGGTATCCAGTTTGGCGACCCTTCAAGGCCAGACCAACACTCCGCAGAAAGATCGCAGTCTCCGAAGAGTCGCTTAGGAAAGATTTTGTCTGCATGTGACCTTTAACCAAACAGAGTTCGTTTTGCTTCGAAGGGCACAAGTGCTTCTTTCACAGCCTGGAAGGCCGTTCTCCACGACAAAATTCAAAGTACTTTAGGTAAGTGATCCACTGCTTCGGCCTGGAGGTGAGCATATCTATTCCATATCTGTATATTTGGCGGATTGCAGACCGTCTTTGCTGTATACTGCGGTCTATTGGGCCTGTGTCGAACTGAAGAAGTTGGCGACAGGGTAGATCGTTTCCTCTCTCCGAGAGGTGGTGCGCGTCCCCAAGATTGATCAAGTGTCTTGGATTTGGACCAGTTGACTTGTGTTTTGGCCTTAGCCTTGGGCCTAGAGAAAGAAGAGAGGGCAAAGAAGTATTTGTGTGATTGTATAACGTGTATAACTCTATTTGGGTTGGATTGTTCTAGCGTTAGCTCGGCGTAGCTGTCTGATTCACGGGGTCGATACTAACCTCCTGGTGAAAAGAACCGCTACCCAAGGGATACACATCGTGCGCCTGACCAACAGCGTGTACTGGACAACACACACCCTGTGCCAGCCGAGACGGATCCAAAGCTCGCGTAGCCTGACGTCTGTCAAGGAGGGCCTATAACTGTTTTCTGGGAGAAAACACCGCATCGCATCGTCACACTGGGGCTTCCGCTTCGGGCCAGCCGAGCTAGGTGGCTCGTGCTGCCGGTATGGCTTCAGCCGCTGACGTAAAAGGTCGGATGGAGGCGCATGCTAGATGGAATATCTAGCGTGTAGGCGTTGCCATGCCGTGCCAACACCGTGATCGGCCCGATGAAGCGCGGAGCGAGCTGGCTCGCCCCGAAGTCGGAAACTGCATGTTTAGGCAGGTTTTGAGTTGCTAACAAAACCAATGAACCATTCTTGAATTCATTAGTGTTGCTCCTACCAACATTGTCTGCGTTCAGCTTCTGTCGGTCGACAGAAGCTGCAATAGCGTCTTGGACAAACCGAATGACGGCTTGTCTGCGCTGCACGAAGTTGATTGCGTCCGAGCTGAACTCGTTCAGCTCGTTTCTAGCAGTAGGCCCGGCCTCTGCGTTTGTCTTCGTGGTGTATGTGCCCTGCACAGACACGTTCTTCTTCTTCTTCTTGCTCTTGCCGGCGTCTGTGCAGGGCACAGACGCGTGCTTCTTCTTCTTGCGCGTAGTCGCGGCTGACACTGTGCAAGTGTCAGCGCCATTCTGCGGCTGTTGCGTTGCAGTCGGAGATCCTCCCCCACTTAAGGAAGGAGCCACCATCCCGAGTAGACTCGGGAGGCGAGGGTGCCTCATGGCATTCACGTAGAACGGCGTATGCCCAGTCGAGGCATGCACCGAGTTGTTGATAGTGAACTCCGCCATCAGCAGGCACTCGCTCCAGTGATAGAACGAGTGAGTGTAGCTCTTAAGCACGTCTACGAGCACGCGGTTCACGCGCTCGGTCTGCCCGTCCGTCTGTGGATGGTCCGCAGTCGACATCGAAAGTTGACTCCCAAGAAGTGTAAACACGTCTTGCCAAAGGTGTGCAGTGAAGCGCGGGTCTCGATCCGACACAATGTCGATCGGCATGCCATGGTGTTTGAACACCATGTCAACGAACAGACGCGCCGTCTGCTTCGCAGTCACTTCAGCGGATACCGCAGCAAGATGTACCATCTTGCTGAAGCGGTCAACAAAGATCACAACGCCTGTGTTCCCCTGGCTGTCCGGGGGAAGACCGAACACGAAGTCCAAAGACATGGACTGCCAACACTCTCGTGGCGTTGGTAGTGACTGCAAGGGAGCCTGCGCGAAAGGCGCAGGCTTCACACGTTGACAAACCTCGCAAGCACAGACGTACTTGCGCACCCATTTATACTGATGGGCCCAGTAGAAGTCACGCGTGAGAAGAAGGTATGTCTTCTCACGGCCCGGATGCCCCGCAGTCGGTGCATCGTGATACTCGTACATGATCCTGAGGCGCAGGTCATGGTCATTGGGCACGCCAACGCGGTCCGTGTTGTCGTCGACTGCACTGTAGAGTAATAACCCGTCGGGCACCCGGTAACGGTGTGCACGAGCACGAAGATGCTTCGGCAGCTTCTGACGAGCTTTGTCAGAAGGCGCTGAGCCGTAGGCCAGCAAGAGCTTCGCGTCCGCGTCGTGCGCGAACGCGACCTTCACGTCGTCCAACAGTGACGCCGTCGGGGTGCTCGATCGCATGGCGTCAATGGCATTGACGTCGGCATCAGCCGTGGCGTAGTCAGGTCGACGCGAGAGCGCGTCGGCCACCACATTGAGTCTTCCGGGTTTGTATTCAACCCGGAAGTTATACTCTGCGAAGAATGAGAGTCATCTCGCCATCCGTTGCGAGATGGGCGGTGACTTCACAGCCGTCCGCAGCGACGCGTGGTCCGTATAGACCACGAACGGTTTGCTTCCAAGTAGATACACTTGGAACTTCGCGAGTGCGTACTTCATGGCAAGGAGTTCCTTGTCATGCACCGGGTAGTTGCGCTCAGCTGGCTTCGGCTGACGCGATTGGTAATAGACCACACGATCACGACCCTCGTGATCGTGCTGCATCAACGCACATCCGATTGCGAAGTCGGATGCGTCACACACAACGTGGAACGGGTGATCTTGGTCAGCCACTACCAAGATCGGCGCCTCAGTCAAGCCCTGCTTGACTGCATCGAAGGCCTGCTGACACTCAGCAGCCCAATTCCACTCGGCGTCCTTCTTCAGGAGCTGTGACAGCGGGCTAATCGTGCCCGCATAGTCCTTCACATACTTGCACAAGTACGTCGTCAAGCCAAGGAACTGCCGCAGTTCCTTGACGTTCGACGGCGTCGGCCACTCATTGATCCCTTTGACCTTCTCAGGGTCAGGGCGGACACCGTTCTTCCCAACGAGACACCCGAGCACGGGTATCTCGCTCGCCCCGAAGATGCACTTCTTCAGGTTTGCATAGAGCTTTTGCTTGCACATGAGCGCAAGCAGCTTCCGGAGATGCACTTTGTGCATATCAACATCGCTCATCCCGTCCGCAGCCCGGCTGTGGACGAACACATCGTCGAAGTAGCTCGGTACGAAGTCGCGCACCGAGCGCAACAAGTGCGTCACGCACCTGTTGAAGGTCGCAGGGGAGTTCTTCAGACCCTGTGGCATCACTAGCCACTCCCAGAGTATGCCGCTCGGCGTGCTCACTGCCGTGAGAGGGATATCGCTCTCACGCATGAGGATCTGATAGAACCCATCGCGCAGATCAAGAGCACTGTAGATAGTGCTCCTGGCCATCGAATCGATGATAACATCTTTTCGCGGTATCGGTGTCTGCGCCGGTATCGTCGCATCGTTCAGCTTGTTGTACGCATGAACGATGCGCCAGCCGCCCTGTGGCTTCTTGACACATATCGTCGGAGCACTGTGCGGGGATTTCGATTCCCGCACTTGTCCAGCTTTGCGACGACTTTCGAAGAAGTCGTCGATCGCTTTGACCTGCTCTCGCGGCAGTGGCCACTGCCGCGTGACACAGTACTTCGTGCCCGGCACGAGATCAATCTCGTGCTGGATTCCCTTGTCCTGCGGAAGCTCCGCAGGAATCTCTTCCGGAAGTACGTCCGCGTACTCCCGTAAGATCTCGTAGTAGGGACTCGTCTTCAGCGAGCCCCAGCTCTGCTCCTCAAAGCGCTCCTTCTTAGTCTTCGCACTGAGTGTCCTCGCTCTCAGTGGTGGTCTCCATGAAGAACTGCCTCAGTTCTTCATTCTCGCTCTTCGTTCTCTCGGCGTCCGAGAGAATGCATATTTGCTCGATGCGTCCATCGTGCAAGTCACGCGCGAAGCGCTTCCAGCTCATGACTGGAAGCGAAGTCAACTCCGACGCTTGCGTCGGAGGGTTAGTGAGAGTCATCTCCCTGTACCGGAACCCGGCACAGGTACGCGTCAAGACGTTCAACGTCTCAACGTCCGGCTTCTCAGCCTCCGTCTGCCCGGCAGACATTCCTTGTAGCGTCTCGGCCCCAGGCCGAGACTTGCGCAGCGACCTTCGCATGCGCCGTCTTCTTGTTTTGCGGAGCCCGGCTCCGCTTGGTTCTTGACCTCGTCCAGGCCCAGCCGTGGACGGGTGTTCTTCTTTAGTACCGCTTGCTACTGCTCGCACGCGCCCAGGGCGCTCCGGGACAGCGTCGTCAAGCGCTGTCTTGTCTGGAGAGTCGCGCGCACCTGTCGGCGCGTGCGTTGCGGCAACAGGGCCATCGCTCTCTGTTCCGCTATCGCGACCGAAGCGCACAAGGGTGCGCTTCTCCCAGTCTAGTACCGGATCATGCCGTGCAAGCCACGGCATGCCCAAGACAATGTCAAACTTATCGTCCAGGTCTAGGACGATGAAGTTTTCGACAAACGCTTGTAGTTCGTACATGAAGCGCACGCGTACCATGCGCTTCTCGGTTTTAACGATGGCACCCGTTGCCAATCGAACTTCCAACATACTTCGAGGTATAATTACCTCCTCGAAGTCAAGCCTTGATAGACTTCGCAGTCGAACAAAGTTGTTCGACGCGCCCGAATCAACCAAAGCACGAAGCGAGTTGCTCTCTCTCTCTTCGAAGCCACGTTCAAGATGACAAGGTTCGGTTTGTCATCATGCATTTTGCAGTGAGAATCACTGGGGGCTGCAGTCCTCAGTGTCGCATGTCCGAGTTGGACACGCGTGACTGCCTCACCAGTAGGGTGCCCCGCGCCTACTGGGTTCCAGCGTTTTTTGTTTGTCCGCGGCGATGCCCGGCATCGCCGCGTCGACCACCATCTCGGTGCACGGGTGCCGTGCACTCTCGGGCATAGTGACCGATCCTTCCGCAACGGAAGCATCGTACATTACTTCCTTGTTGCTGTTGATAATCAACAGCCGTTGCATTCGAGAGGTTCATTGGTTCCGGACCTCCCGCTATCGCAACCGGAGGCGATCGCAGCCTCGGCGCATTCGCATACAGCTTAGCCTGCCGCAGGCTAAACTCCTCCTGCATTGCAAGAGTAATTGCAGCTTCGAGAGTACTCGGGTACTCACGGAAGAGATAGGTCTTCACAGGCCCATTTCGAAGTCATTTCATGATCGTGACAACCTTAGTCGCCTCGTCTATCGGGTTGGTCACAATGTTCGAGACCAAATACCGTGCTCTCTGCGCGTAAGCATGGACATCATGCTAACCCTGCTGTAGGTCGAGGAACTCTGCCCTCGACCGGAACTCGTTTTGCGGGAGCTCAAATGCTTGTCTGAGCTCCTCCTTGAAACCCTCGTACGTGCCGAAGCACGTAGGATCAGAGAGTCGGCGTCCATACGCCCAACTTCTCGCTCGTCCGCCAAGACATGACATGGCGAACGCAACCTTGGACAACGGGTCGACGATACGTCGAGCCGCAATGGCAGTGTCGAGTTCGACAAGCCACCGGAGGAGAGGCTCGCCTTCTCTTCCGACATAGTTGCTCACGTTTAGCTTCAACGATTGCTCGCGCGGTGTCGTCCCCGACGCCACCGTGATAGAGGAAGCAGCATCACGCTGCTCCTTCATGATGAATCCCAGAGCAACACCGTGTTGCTCCGTCGGCGATAGTGTGCGCAGCATTGCAGCTACAGCCGCTTCTCCAATGACTGTTGACAGTCTTTGGAGTGCCTCCCACTCTGGGTCCGACAGGTGGAGGCAGTCAGCACGTGCAACATGAGTTGCAGGCGAAGTGGAGCTTTCCATGGGCACCTCCGCGCTCACGAAAAGGTTCTCGGCTCCTCGTTCGTACAGCTCCGTACGAACGTTCAGGTAGTCAGTCGTTGGACGGACTACAAAGTGCTACCAGGTGTAATGGGCCTACCTTGGCTCACTACTACGGCTTACACGTATGCGCACGTGTATGAGGAAGCGTAGGTTTCTTTTACTTGAGTTAAGTATACTCGAGATCCACGAGTATACTTTAAACAAGATAAACTCCAAGTAGCGGGTTTTGGTAAAAGATGAGAACTGCTATTTTTGTTTTATGTTTCTGACTTCCTCTAAATGTAATAATCTAAACTAGGAATCTGCCAACGGCTGGTTGGCAGGATTCTGCTAACATGCAAGTCACTCATTGGCTAAAAGATGCTGCTTTCAGCCAATTGGAATCCTAAATGTGTATGGACCACCCGTCGTGGTGGTCGTAAATGTATGTAGCCATTGGTGTACCTTACACCAAGGTCGAGGAAGTGTTCAAACCTCTAACAGACATCACATCTGTTAGAGTAACAAGCGACTGCAGCCACTTGTGCGTGTATCCCGTTACAAGTCCCCATACGAAATGGTGCACGGTAAACCACCAGACATAAGTGACCTTCACATTTGGGGAAGTATATGCTTCGCGCATGTACCTAAAGTGCGCAGCAAAGATAAGAAACTATCGGCACGAGGGATAAAGTGCAGATTCTTGGGAATGTCGGACGAGTATGTGGTAAGAAGATCCGCTCAAGAACGGTATTGATGGAACCGGATCCGTCAGTTGACCAGGTAATGGGATCCAGCAGTTGGTGACGATGCAGATGACGCAATGGTTGCTAGATGGAGTGCAGTTGCTGAATCAGGGCAGTTGAAGTTGGATCAGGCACAAGTAGTGTGGTGCACACGGATCTGGTCACCTACATTAGGAACTCCTAGATTAGGTATGGATCCGTACCAATTTATTGGTACAATAGCTGTGTTGGGATAATTAGGCAGGAAGGAGAGCCAGTAGTGGATAGGATCCAAGCCGGATGGGAAGGCTGGGTACAGGCTAACATAAATCAGAGTCGAATTGGCTTGGGAACCACACCCTTGGTCCTTAGTATTGAGATTAGTATTGGCCCATACTTTAATCAAGTGATTTGCCCCCCGCACTCGTGGCAGACTGCTGGATAGCTTGGCCAGCAGCTCGCGCCCTTCGGCCCTCGACCCCCAACTCCTCCGCTAATAGGAGGCGGCAAGCAACGTAAAGGAAAAAGGATACAACGCCCCCAACCAGGCAACAACTCCGAATCTGGTATATTACTTATCAGATCCACAAGATCTACGGCCAAGACCAAGGATCAACCTACCCAGATCTGCGTGAAGGAACCCCCACTGCGGGTCTACCCTAACATCTCCCCAAGTCCCCGCCAAGGACGTTCAAGCTCACCCCCTGCGTGTCTCGTGTCAATGAGAGAGCAGATCCAGTCCGCCGACGGGTACACAAGGTGAGCCCCTCAGCAAACTGCGGTTATCGGAGTACCCCCTCCGTTAGTCGGTGTCGGGGTGCAGTGTGTGAGTGTGGGGTCCCTGCTAATTCCAGCGGATCCACTCCACCACAAGTACAAGAGTTATCGGCTTTTGGATGTGTATAATAATCGGTTCATATACTCAAGGCACGTAATGTTCGACACACAACATGGATCTGAGATAGTGTTGCGTGCATTTGGAAAGGAACAAAATGAGGAGAATAAAGACTCTACCCCACCAGTGGGAGAGACTACACCAGGCTCAGGGCCAACCCGAATTCTGGGGAAACCAGATACAGAACAAGTGTCTGACCAAACCTTGGGAGCACCTAAGCAAAAGTGAGGGTTGGTAGAGGTAGTGGGAGCCAAGCCGGCTAAGAGACCATGCCGTGAAACACGAAAGCCTGCTAAATTTGGGGATTATGTGTGCTACCAAACCCACATGGACAGCGTTAAGCCCTGAAAATTCTCCTGATTAAGATACCAATACCCCGCAGCCTTACGGAAGCATTGCGAGGACCACATAGGAAAGGTGGAGGCGTACACTTGATCTTGAGTATGATTCCCTAATAGACAACGGTACTTGGAAGCTAGTAAAGCTGCCACCTGGGAGAAAGGCACTACTGTGTCATTGGGTACTTGTGGTGAAATACCATGCTAATGGAGTAATAGAACGCTTTAAAGCGCGACTTGTTGCTCAAGGAAATCATCAAGAACTTGGGGTTGATGTAGACGAGGTATACGTCCCAGTAGCGAGGTTTGAGTCCCTACGCCTTGTCTTAGCGATTGGCACCATTTTAGATTGCCATATCCACCAGATGGATGTTCACACAGCATTCTTGAATGGAGCCATGGATGGAGACCAGCGCATATATATGAGACAACCTCCGGACTATCATGCACCAGGGAAGGAGGGCTATGTGTGTGAACAGCAGAAAAGCATCTATGGGTTGAAGCAGGCTCCTAGAATTTGGTATCAGGTGCTGCATAAATTTTTCACATCAATGGGTTTTGTACGTTGCAATAAGGAGTTTTGCATCTACATACAAAAACTGGGAGATGAATGGGTCATCATCGTGGTATATATCGATGACCTGGCGATCATGTCGAAAAGTATGCGACTGATCAACAAAGTCAAGGTGGAACTATCTATGAGATTTAAGATGAAAGACTTGGGAGATGTCCACTACATCCTAAAAATTGAAGTCCGCAGAAATAGAGAAGAATGGACAATGTCCATCTCACAACATCAGTATATATTGGAACTACTGAAGAAGAACAACATTGAGAACAGCTCAGCTGTAGCGCCACCCCAGATTACAGGTCTTGAGTTAGGACCTGAAACTAAGATGACTGCAGATGAGATAGCAGCTCAGAAATTTGATTACAGAGGTTTGGTTGGGTCGCTGCAATACCTAGTGAGAAGTACTAGACCGGATATTGGTAATGCAGTGAGGGAATTGAGCACGTATTTGTCCTGCTACAATAAAACACATTGGGAAGCAGCTAGGAGAGTACTGAAATACTTGAAAGGGACGTCGACATACGGTCTATTACTTGACGGAAAGTTAAAGGACGTAACGTATGAGGTGTACAGAGACGCAAGCTTCGCGTGTCAATCAAAATAACGTAAATCACGGAATATGTGATTAGATGGCTGGCTGCAGTATATATTGGTGCAGTAGTAAGCAAGGATGTGTGTCCCTATCAACTGCAGAAGCAGAGCTTATCGCATTGAGCGAAGGTGCAAAGGAAAGCGAATGGTAGTGGCACTTACTATCGGAAATGGGGTTTCCTCGAGCGAAACCTGTGCAAGTCTGGTGTGATAGCAGGTCTGCTATCAGTATCACAAAGAACCCAGGCAACCACAAGGCTAGTAAGCATATCGAGATAAAGTATTTGTTCACACGAGACTTAGTAGACGAAGGCCATCTGGTAATTGAGTACTGCACAACAGCTAGCGTGGCAGCAGACATTTGACAAAGACCCTTCCCACTAAACAATACTCATTTTTGAGAGATAAGATCGGTGTGACAAGCGTACTACCAGCGGTGAACACTTAGTGAGAATGTTAGAATGAGGTTCCCGAGAGGCCGTAAAGGCTCTGTAAAGGCTTGAGGGTAAAGTCACTTTACTAAAGTGTACCCGATGGCATCAAGACGCTCTCCCATTGGGTGACTTCCAAAAACCTCGCAAGTCAAAACTTACGAGGAGCACATATCAAGCACAGACGGCGAAGCAAGTCGAGCACAAATCAGTCACAAAGGTTGGTAAGACGAAAAAAAACGTCTGAGCAAACTTGTGTTTAGTTGGCTTACTTGTGACATCAGTTTCGAGAATGAGAAATGCGATGCTCCTATTTTGAGGACACTCTGAGGTCTACTACGACTTGTACGTTTCGGCTAGAATGGCTCTGTCTTCGACTTGATCAGGCCGAGCCAAGCCTGATACTCGACTCCTGTCCTCTCTGCTACCATGTGCAAGAAAACAAAGGGGAAGAGGTTCCGCTCGAGCGAGGTGAACCGTACGTCATTCATTATCTGTGTGCTGTGAGCTAGATTTGGGCAACTACTTACACACTGTGACGTAGGAATGCTTGACATCGTAGAAGACCGATTGCCGTTTGGTGCCGAGCAGTGGAGCAACGTTGCCGCTCTTTACGACGCTCAACTTCCTAGTGGTTGGCCGGAGCGCGACGGTGAGAGCCTAAAGCGCAAGTTCCTCGGCCTGAAGAACAAAAGGAAACCCACTGGAGACCCAGACTGTCCGCCTGATGTGAAGCGTGTGAAGCAGGTATTCTGCATGATTGAGGCCCGCTGTGCTGTCACTACACTTCACGACAACGACTCCGACGAAGCCGAGCCCGACGAAGAGCCTGCGGTTGCAGCAGGAGGAACGTTCGGTGGTGCTACACCTGCCTCCCACCATTTTGCTGTTGAAGGAGAAGCTGCTGGTCATGAAGCTGCTCTAGGAAGTGGCGATGACGGGGTCACGGATGGTGCTGCTTCGCCCTGTATTGACACGTCGCCCGTGTGGTTCGTGGAGACACCCCCGGAACGGCCGCAGCGCTATCGACGCCGCCCAAGCTGGTGGCTACATCTCGTGCTGGCATATTGCCTACGGAGCTTGTCCAGCTGTCTCGTAGTCTGGAAAAGCCACGACCCAACACTTCGTCACCAGTCAATCCAACAACTTTCATGAGCCAGACAGCTCAGCGCCGAATCCGGCTTGACAATATGCTCGACAAGCTAGCCGCGGATCTTCCTGCAGCTCATTCTGCTGGTGATTCGGGGCTGATGAGCATGTTCATGATGATGGAGGAGAGGCAGGCACTTCGTGACGCTTCTCTCCGTCGCGAGCGAGAAGAGCGAGATGCCACACGCGAGGAGAGAGAGTGTCAATTCCGACTCGAGATGGATCAACAGCAAAGCAATCGTAATGCCCAAAGTCAACAACTCATGCTGCTGATCATGTCGAAGCTGTTAGGCAGCAACCCACCTAGCACCGAGGATGCCTAGAAGAAGGTCGCGAACGACAATTTTAGCAAAGTCAGTAGACCAGAAAAGAAGATACTAAAACAAGTCGAATGAGATAGATTTATTTTGCTTTAGAAAGATTTACTTTATTCCTTACGCCATGAAGACGCTTCTGATCTGGCTGATGCCTGTGCTACGTACTCTCAAATTGTACAAGTGATAGATGTTGAATATCCGGACACTTCTTCGCGCAGGGTCAAAAGGCAGCGGAAGTAAAAGCTGCCTGTAGAATTTGGAAGCGCAGCCCATTCCCCACTCGGCCGCTTGGCGTATTGATGTAACTGCGCTGCTCATTGCCACCAATCCACCTCAGCAGGCAGCACTAGCCTTCTCCAGGTCACCTTCTTTAAGAGGAGTAATGATCCTTCCCGCCATGCCATTTCTAACCGGGAATGCAGAGTCTGTCGCGCAGCACGCGTTCGTCATGGTCCTCTTAGCGTCCGCGACTCGATGTTGTAAGCGACGGCTCATTTCACCGTCGTTCCAGGAGCCCGGGTGGTTGTGGCGACCCCATACAAGAGTTCCGTCAAAGCCGCAGCACAGCCCGCCGGTGACCTTCACTGCATGAGCCATCCTGCTTGGACAACAAATTCAATCAGTCAGAAAATTCTCATGTTTTCATGATACGGGCACTTACCGTTGAAGTACGCGTTCTGGTAGTTACTAGCTGTGGGGGCTCAAACGACGTAGTTTTTTTCCGTCAGCAATGCAGACACAGCCTTGGACCAAAGGCTCGTGGAGCGAGCGACACGCTCGCTGCCCACTGCTGCTGCTGCTGGAAGGACGGTCACTCGATGCGCGCCTCTGGAACCTCGTTTAGAGCCAACTGCACCGCGTTTTCAGCCAGCTTCAGAACGCGAGATAGCGTAGCAGGAGGTACACCAAATAGCTCACAAAGTGTTTTCTGCTCGACCGCAGCGGTGTAAAAATGGAGAATACACGCCAGTATATTGTTCACATTTTGCAAACGGGCTGGCCTTCCCTTTTTACTTGGGCCACTCTTCACCTGATAGTGCCGACCGAATGCCGCCAATAACATGTTGAACTGCAGCACGGGTAACGAAACTGTGACGATAAACGCGCTGTCATCGCGCATCATGAAAATGGTGGACCAGAGACTCGTTGAAGGCTGATGAGGACGTCGAAAGTCAAATAGTGCAGATACGAAGCCGTAACAGTGTTGCAATGACCTTCGCTCGAGCCCGCTGATGCCGCTGTTGTTGGCGGCGATAGGCTGTTTGTAGTATCATAGCTGAAGTGAAGCGCATCGCGCGCTGTCGGTAGTGATTTTGAAAATGAAAGACCGTGAAGCTACCGATATGCCGTCCTCTCCCACTGCAGCTTGTGTTGTTTTTGAAGGGCAGTTGGATCGCAAGGTACGCACGTACCGCGCCCAAATGGAGGAGCAAACAGAGCACTGATGACAGCTTGTGAGTGGCATATACAGCTTCATGTGGGGTTTTTGGAAGTCATCCATTGGTTAAGGGAGAGCCAATCATAGGACTACATAACTAGCCGATCAGAGGGTGCCCTGTTGGCGACCGCTCGTGCGATGATAGTTTGACGGTATTCGGAGAGAGATCACTTCTCCTTTTGCCGACGACTGAGCACTAGTCTATTAGAGGGCATTAGAGCATCTCCAGCGGTGGGGTCTTATCCTAAGACGTAACAGGGTCTTTGAGATCACAATTTTATAGTTGAGACCCGCGCAGGCCGACTTACTCTCAGCGGTGAGTTCTAAAGCGAGTCTTATAAGTCCGTTCCTGCATGTGAAAATTGCATTCAGTTTTGGTGCGAACTTTTAAATACGGCGACTCTTCAGTTTTGTATGGATAGCATTAAGATTGGGGTCTTATTTTAAGACTCGAAAGCGAATCTATAGGACCCGGTGAAGTTAAAACCTGCAATAGGACCTTCTGGTGGGAGCCTTAAGTCTTGGCCAAGTCTTAAAACCGTGTTTGAGGCCAACCGCTGGAGATGCTCTCAAGAGAAAAATAAAGTTTAAGTTTGACCAACCAGAACTGAGTTTTAACACAGTCTTCTACTACGCTTGGATTCAGATCGAATCCGGGTCGTGGGGACGTAGTGGTTGATCTAACCACAGTGGCGCGTCGCCCCTATTAGCAGTTGCACAGATGCTCAGCTAGTATTGCCGCTTGCAAATATTTTGCCCACTAAGATAGACCTCTAACATAGACCACGCCTGTCTCTTAATATGAGTGGACACGAGATAGTCGAGGGCCATTTTAGCGTGCTTTGGTAGAGGCCGGTTTTTGGCCCAGAAACTCGGATTGGCCCGTCTAGAATGGCATTTCTGCGTTTCCAAGTCGTAGCAAAGCGTGAAACAGACCCCAACCTTGCATCTTAGACCTGCACTGGCGATATATATAAATCAGACCTAGGTCTTAATTAAGAGCTTGCTAGACTAAAATCGAGATTATTAACGAGATAATTAGCATGCGTTGGCCAAAATATCTGCAAACGGCAATAACATTAATAAAAATAAAACTTGAAATGGCGCTAAATTGGTTATGTCCCTTATTCAGAAATCCTCCGATGACTTACCGTGCAGCACAGCTCCTAAGTTGTCTCTTTTTTGGTAGAAGCCTGCATAGAACGCATAGTCCCGAATCAGCCGGCATCATGGAGGACGTGGGGCTCGACCGGAAGCTGGTGATCATCGGCCCCACGGACGTGGGCAAGACGTCCATCACGATGCGCTACTGCCACGGCAGCTTCTCCACGCCCACGTCGGCCACCATCGGGGCCTCGTTCCTGCAGAAGCGCGTGATCGTGGGCGACGACGCCGGCGCGCGGCGGAAACTGACGCTGCAGATCTGGGACACCGCCGGCCAGGAGCGCTTCCGCTCCATGGCGCCCATGTACTACCGCAACGCCAAGGCGGCCATCCTGGTCTTCGACCTGCAGAGCGAGGCCAGCTTCGAGAAGATCAAAGAGTGGCTGCAAGGTGCGTCTTCTTGAGCGAGGTTCAGTAGTAGAGACGGTAGCGTTAGACTGACAGGCTCCTCCTCCTCTTCCTCCTGTTCCTCCTGCTCCTCCTGCTCTGTCACTTCAATCCGCAGACCTGCAGCACCACGTGGGCGACGATATAGTACTAGCGGTCGTGGGCAACAAGAGCGACGTGCCATCAACCTTCGACTTCTCCAAGGCCCAGCAGTTCGCGGACGAGATCGGCGCGCTGGTATTCCGCACGAGCGCCAAGTCGGGCGAAGGGGTGCAGGCGCTGTTCGAGAGCCTCGCGGTGCAGCTGCTCAAGAAGCACGACCAGGAGCAGCGGACACGAGCACGTGACGGATCCAGAGCAGGAAGCTCCGCTGGCGCAGGCTCCTACGGCTATGGAGGCCAAAGTCCCGTCATTCTAAGTCAAGCCAACGCCTCAGGGAACAAGGCATCCAAGGGCGGCTGCTGTTAGCTCGTCTACTGGTCAGCGCATAGAACGACAGGCATGAAGGAAGGGAAAACAGGGTTTCAGCTCGTGCACAGGACAGCACAGCTCAACAAGCATGGGGGCCGGAGGGATGAGGTGGGGGCAGCAGAGAGAGAGGGGAGGAAGTGCATCTTGGCGTCGGAGTCAGCGCTCGGGGTGCGACGCCATGGATGCTAGCTAATGTTTTTATTCACAGCAATCAACAAGTCAAGTTTCGACTGCGTTATGACTTGTGTGCCATGCTTCTAGGACACTGCAGCTCCTCGTCGGCGCCAACATATTACTTCGACGCAGGATCAATCATCACCAAACACCAACACGAACCGAGACGCAGATGACGAACACGAGCTCATTCATTTCGGTTGTAAGTTCTTCATTTAGTCGTCGGCTTCCGTGCTAGCTCCGCCACTCGCCGCGAACACGAGCGCAACCCCGTTGCTACAGACACATGGGCAATGGAGGAACTCCCTCTCGGGTCAACCATCCCGCTAGCTACGCCACGTTCACTCGTGACCCCCGCCTGTCGTCAGAAGACTGACTTACTGCTGGCTCGAGTTGGCGAGCAATGTGTTGATCTTGTCGATCTTGGTGGCGAGCGACAGGTCAATGAAGTAGTTGCCGATCTGCACCTTGAGGCCGCCCAGGATCTCCGGGTCCACGACCGTCTCCAGCAGCAGCTTCTCGTTCTTCTCCACGCGGGCACCGAGGGCCTTCTTGACCTGGTCCAGCTGGGCCTTGGTCAGCGGGTCAGCCGACGTGACCTTGGCCTGCACCTCGCCACGGTAGGCGCCCATGAGCTTCTTGTAGGCGCCAATGACGCCAGCGGCGTCCGGCAGACGGCCGTTCTCAGCGAGCACCTCGAACAGGCCAGCCACGGGCTTGGAGAACTTGGCCTTCTCCATGACCTTGGCGATGTCCTCCTTCTTGGAGGCACGGGCGATCGTGGGGTCGTGCAGGAACGAGGCGAAGTTGGGCTCCTTGGCGATGGTCTCCTCGATGGTGAGCAGCTCCTTCTCCACAGACTCGAGCTGGTTCTGCTTGGCGGCCACACTGTACAGGGCGTTGGCGTAGCGGGCGTGCAGGCCGAAGAGCTGCAGCTTGGGCTGCGTCATCTGGCCGAAGCCGCCGATCTCCTCCACCTCCTTCGTGGACGAGGCGGCCGAGGCCAGGCCGCGCGTCAGGGTGGGGGCCACCGCGGCCTTGCGCACCGAGTTCTTGATCGTCGAGGACAGCATGCTGGCAGTGGCAGGATCAACAAGAACGAGGGCAAAAGGTCAGTCGACTCCCGCTCGGAAGATTTCCATCGCTTCCGGCGCGGCCCTCCGGGGCGCAAGAGGACGGCGATACGCGCGTCCGCTTCGGGACGAGCGCGACACGCGATTCCGCCCACTGTGCTCGTGGATGGGCCCCGCTTTCAGCTTCGGACGCTCCGTCCAGCGCCAGCTTCTTCCATCCGCGCGCGCACTCACCTTCCGTTCCAGCTAAAGTCGCGAGTGGTCTTTGAGCGCCCAGGGCCCCCTCGATGTGCGGCTCCAAGCCACTCAGTCCGCTGATTGGTCCGTTTATTCGTGTGGTTTACATACGTTACATAAGAAAGTGTACCTTAGAAACGGTACAGCCGTACATGTGTTAAACAGATACGAAGCTTGTGGTTCGTCCACTAGAAAAGGACACTAGAAGGCTGGAACTCCAGGGAAGTGTGTCGTGCACTACATTTATGCTTCGAAGCAATACCGGACAAGATTGTCCTGGTTGTGAAAGCACAACGGCGCACGGGAAGGCAGGCAGCTGCCACCCCAGAAGACTAAGCGTTGCCGACAAGACCGATACTGCTGGTCGCCGCACAGCACGAGGCGGCCGCAAAGCAGGCCGAACGCTGCCAGTGCCATGTCAAAGCGTGTTGCCCACTCGCTCCAGCTACTTCAAACATGCGCTGGCTTTTGCAGAGCCGTCCCCCTTCCTGTCCTCTTCAATTGCTGATGTTCGTCGCACAGCAGTGGGCAAACTAAATCCGCTCGGCTCACCCGGGCCACTCGCCTGCCACTGTTTCGGGGCCTTCTTGTCGGTCCTTCCAGGCCTGGAACTGCAGCGCCACCTGCTGCAGCATCTGCGCTTTGATCTTGCCCAAGTAGCCCACCTCCGCCTTCTTCTCCTGGAGTTGCTCAAACGCGGCGCGATACCGCCTCTTTGCGTCCTGGAGCTGCAGCAGCGGGACGCTTTGGCGCTCGATCTCGACCTCGTCCGCCAGGTCGGGCGTGCTGCGATCTCGCAGTTCTTGCAGCTGGAGCGCGTAGCCGTCGATCTCCCTGTTGGATTCAATGAGTTAGCACAAATGTATCCATCTCTAGTTGAAGTGAGCGACCAATCATATCCCACGTACAGTTTCACGCGGTTGACAGTCAGCGCCAGCGCTGCGTATTGCGCCTTTGCCTCCCGGAGGTTCAGCTTGGCCTGCTCTAGGTCACGCAGAGCCTCGGCGCCAGGGTCAGCGCCACCCACGGACTTGAAGCGATCGAACAGCTCCTTGTCGCTCTCTCTGGGGGCGGAAAGCGCCGATGCACCACGCTCTGGTCTCTGGTTGTCTCCAAAAATTGGGGGCAGCACAACCCCCACACCATCAAGACCGTTGTTGTTGCTCTTTTTGTTGTCGTTGGCGCTGCTGCTGCTGCTGCTGCTGCAGTTGGTGCTACTAGGCGCAGATGACGGACTGGGGCCAGGCGGCGTATGACCTCGCAGCGCGCGGATCTGCGCCACCATCTTGCTCCCCGTTTTTCTTGGCAGATTTGGTGCCGGGTCGAGAGGCGCCTTCATTTCCAGGCAAATGGAGCGGAACGTGAGCAGTAGCCGCTGCAGCTGCCGTAGACTCTGAACTGGAGGAATCAGCTCGGCATTGGCCAAGAACGAGGTGATCTGCTGCCGTCGTGAACTTTCCTCCTGCGCAGAGTTCTCCTTGGCTTCGTGCGGGATCCGTGTTCGCCCTGCAATCGCATCATACAGCGCCAGCTCCTCGCGCAGTCTCCGGATCTCATCGCGGAAGGCAGCACGCTCCTCACTAGCCAGCTTTGATCCCGCTGCACCAGACCTCGACGCCACAACGTTGACAACAGCCTGCGTCTTGACGCGACGCATCCTCGCCGCGAAGCGCAGAGTTGCCAGACTTTGGTCGGCGTGAGACGGAGATGGCCACACACAAGCCACCAACAGCGTGCGGCAGTTGCCACCCAGCGAGTCCTTCAGCAAGTTGGTCAGAGGCGTCTGTCGAAACGGCACGTGCGCTCGGGTCTTGCTGCCCAGCGCGAGCACGACCTGCTCCAGGAATGTCAGCGACCGGTTAATGTAGCAGGCCTCGTTGGCCCGTGTCGAACCTGCCTCTGTCAGTGTCTTCTTCATACGTTCCGAACCCGCCAAGTCAACCAAATGCAGCTTACTGTACACGACGCCATCTTCGCTGAGCGTGGATCCTGTGACTTCATCCCCAGGTGCATCTTCCTCTATAAACTGGTTGGACATTACACTCCGCTTGCGCTCCAGGTACAACGTGAAGATACAGTGAGACCGAGTTGATGCGGCGTTCAGTGCATGCTCAGCCACTGCGCGACTCGTATCACCCTGGAATACCAGGTCCAATGCCTGCTCCTCGCTGGACACGAGCGCAGTCGTGAGGCCCCGCACGAACGTCTGGCCACGAGCATTCTCCTGGATTGCCAAGTCGTTCGAGCCATTGCCAGTGCCCGAGCTACCGACGTCTGGGGCAAGCAGATCGATGAGGCGGTCGTTGTAAATCTCCAGATACGACATACGCAGCGTGTAGGAATGGTCGGCGTCCTGCTGCGTGCGTTGGAATACGCGAGAGAGCGCTCGAGCGATGAGTCCGCGATCCTCGAAGCGGCGACGGGGCCCCCCTCCAGACATGGTGAAGGTTTTGCCTGCTCCCGTTTGGCCGTAAGCTAAGATGCAGCCGTTGTAGCCACTCAAGGCTCCGTCCACGACGTCGGATGCCACCAACCGAAACACTCCAGCTTGATCTACGTTGGGAGACAGCACTTGGTCAAACTTGAAGATCGTACCGCCGCCCGAGGCTGCATTGGTGACCACACTGATTGTCTGCACGCACCACAGCGAGGAACTAACATTAGGCCCCGATGCGCTCGATAGTTAATCGCAGAGAGAGAGAGAAAGGAACTAAACAGCTGACCTTACCTGCTCGTGTTCATCGATCACAACTGCATCGCTCTGAACTGAGTTGGTGGCGCCTTCGCTAGTGATGGTTGGCCGGACCCGTATGCAGACTTTGACCCGCTTCTGCATTCTAGAACGCCGAGCTCGCCCTTGTCGATCCAGCGGATACCCAGCATTGGTACTCGTACCATGGCGTCGCTTCGAAACGGTCGTGCAGGAAACGATGTGTATGGCGAAACGTACCGTGGTCCTATTAGTTTATCCTGCCAACTTACTTGCGCTTGATGGCGGCGCTGAGATCCATGTCCTCGTCTTCATCTGAGCTAGACTCCACCTTCTTTTTCCTGCCCTTCTTGAGTGGGGTCTTCTTCACTGGCTTTGCGTTCTTCTTTGCCTGGACGGGTTCCTCCGGTTTTGCTGCCGTGCCAAACTCGCTCTGAAGTACTCCTCCCTCCTCCTCGCTGTCGCTATCGCTGTCCACCACGGGTTTCTTCTTGGCGGGTTGGGCAGGCTTCGGCTGCTCCTTCTTGCTGCCGTGGATCAAGTCACGCACAGTCTCGCTGTTGGCCAATTGACGGAATTCGTCCCGAGCCGCATCAGTCATCGCAAGACCCTCTGCAGCTGGCTTTGGCTCCTCCTCGGCCTGATCAGCAGCAGTCTCGAGGGACTCCAGAAGCTCGGCCATCGACGTCACCTGCTGGGCAGTCTCCTCCTTCGTCGGTTCGTCGCGCAGCGCAATGGGAGCATGCAGAGTCGAGAAATCCGTCATTGCACCCAAATCGACCTTCTCCACCGTGCTTTTAGCGGTCGCTTCATCCAGCGTCGACGATACATCCGCGAATGCGCGGCCACGTAGCAATGCGCGACGGCGCTGCACGGCTTCCTTGTCAGCCTTCTCTTCCTCCTCCTTGAGAAAAGTCGTCAGTTCAACAACACGCGCTGCTGCCACATTCGCGCACCTCAGTACAGTCGACTGGGAAATCGCGGCACCGCCAATCTTGTGCACTGCGCACAGCTCGCGGAACGAGTTGAACGTGAAGCTCATGCGCGCGTCCGTGATCCGCTCCTCGCGGTCCGTAGGGTCCATGAAGATAATGGGCTCGCCATCCTCGTCAGCGTCAATGTCGTCGTCGTTGCCGGCATTGTTCTGTATTTTCGCAGCTGGCTGCAGGAAGCAGAACGAGATGGAGATCGGGATGTGGTGGAGACTGAGCGGGACAGCCGCGTGCTCGTCCACGCTGTACACGGTGACTCCTCCGTTGCCTGCCGTGCCCTCCTTCACTGCAACCTCCGGGCGGCGGTAGTGCATGAGCGCTGCGATGGCAGCCAGCGAGGCCGCGTCCACGAGGTTGCCGCCGTGGTCCACGACGTGCACGTGGCACGTGATGGCCCAGACCTTCTCTCCAGCCACCACAGCCAGCGCCTCCGTGTCCAGCGCGCGACTCTCGCGCACGCCGCGCTCCACCAGGCGCGCCAGCTCCGCGGCGGCAACGGACGAGGCGGCGCCGCGACCTGCAGAAGCGGCGGCCTCGAAGCTGGGCGACGCCATGGGCGACAGCTCCACGGCGAAGTGCAGGAAGCCCTCAGTCGGCCGGTCCGGGAAGGGCGGCACGATCTCGCCATGCACGTTGCCGATCACCCTGTTCAGCACACAACAGACAACGGCCAGTTAGGCGCCTTCCGCTACTGCAGCCATGCACGGAGCAGCGCGCCCCACGCACCGAGTGCGGCCCAGCTGCACCTCCGCTTGGCTCTCGGTCTCGCTGCGCCGGAACTGCACGCGGATCTTGCGCTGCTGCAGCAGCTCGCGGCCGTCGGCGCGCACGTGCGGCGGCTGGCGCAGGCAGTTGGCCAGGAACTGGCGCTCGTTCTCGCTCAGGAAGTCGTGCTCGTCCCGCAGCGCCATGGCGTCGGTCTACAGTAGTGGTTCGGGAGCTGCTGGTGCGGAGCGTTTTCGGTCTCCGAGGCCGCTGATTGGCCAATTCTCCACCAGATCACAAGTCCGACCCAGCGGGGAATGGACGGGTACAGGCAGACGCTGCTGGGGCGCGCGCTGGCCGACGCGCTGCGGGATCTGGAGGAGGAAACGGAGCTGGAGGTGGACGGAGACCTGCTCTTCTCGCTCTTCGACGAGGCCATGCTGGCGGAGCTGCGCGCGGAGACGCCGGGTCGGACGTTCACTCACGAGTCGCTGGGGCTGACGGGGCAGCTCACGGCCTTCAACCGCTTCCTGGACGACTGGAGCGTGCAGGCGCGCGTTCTGCCGCGAGATATCACGCTCAACCACTGCGTCGCGGACCTGCACTTGCCGCAGCAGCAGATTCGGGGTCAGGAAGGGGAGCAAGCGGTGGCGGTGCGGATGAAACTACGTCAGAGGACATAACGCCCTGGTTTAGCTCTAGCGCTGTGCTGTGCCGGGTTTGTTGGTGTACATGTACTTGTTGTGATCCGCGAATTGCACATGTTACAAGCCTTCACGCAGAATTTTGGATCGGTCATTCCAATGTGGCGACAGCAGGAACTCGACGCAGTTGATGAAGCTGCTTGAAGACAAAACAGGAGCAGCGAAACTTCATTCTCTCGATTGGAAAATATCAGGGGAGGGCTCCAGCGATGCAAGCTATACGAAATGGATTGCCAAGTGCCTCCACTGGTTAACCCTTTTGGAGTACTGTAGCGCAAAGCTGGTATTTTCGTGATTCGCGTAGTTCACCACATCATGCTGCGCTAGGAACGATCAGGTGTTTGGTGTCGGATACTTTTGTAGAGCTGCTGCTTCAACACCACTTGCGGGGCTGTACTCCTTTTCATTGTAAACTTAATTAGTGATGTCTTCTGTGAACGATCTGATACTTTTCTGTTAGCTGGACGTGTTTGGGTATTGAAGGCTCATCAAAAGGCTGATTTTCGTTTCGCAGCAGCGTCGGGGTAACCACGAGCTCGCCCGCAATGTGGAGCTCTTGTACGCATAGCATGCACTATATTGATAAAGTCTGCACCGGATGCTGAGTATCTACAGGGTTATAACGGCTCTACGGTCAAACGTGGCAATTATTGCCAGGCAATACCTTTGCCAAGAGTGGAGGTGGGCCCGTCACCGCTCCTAGATCGCCGGCCTCATTGCTCGAGCGCTGTCTCGCGTATTTCAACGCACGTAGCAGTATGGCGACCATCCCCGATACAAGCTGCGTATGTCGTATCTGGAGATTTAGAACGACCGCCACATCGACCTCATCGGCAGCTCTGGAGTCGCTGGCAACGCCTCGTACACTTTTATCATCGCAGAAGAGAGCACGTGGACAGACGTGCGTGCGTGGTCCTCAGTGAGGTCTTCTCACCACTGCGCCGGTGTCTAGTGAGGAGCAGGCAGACATAAGTCTCGCAGTGGCTGAACACGCACTGAGCGCTGCACCAACGCGGTCTCGCTGGGGGTTACTTAATTGTGAGTACACTTCACTCACTTCCGAGTAATGCCACATAAATCTTGTTTATAGCTTAGGAAAAGGTTCCACGTCCAGCATTGCCACTTTGGACGGCATAATACGAATGTATCTGGGGAAGTAGCACATCGAACCACATAATATGTGGTTCGATGCGCTACGTATTATGTGGACGTGAGCAAGCTATTAGAGAATTCAAGCGTCCTCTAGCATAAAATCGAGCAAAAGCTGTCCTAAGTTATACGGTTTGCAGCACATTATTTGCGTCCGTGAATGCCATCCCAACAAGCTATGGCTTTAGAGTGGGGCCAGTAGTTGCGAGTTGATGCAATGTCAAATGAGTTATATGTACTCCAAAACCCGAGTCCATTACTCACTACTCGAAAGTCGGGGAATATTCGAATACTCGAAAGTTAGGACGACCCTGGCATATTCACGTTGCACGTGGAGCGCGAGAGGAGCATCATGTCCACCAGATTCTACGTCAGGTGCAGCGGCTACTGCACACGCACGTCAATCCAGCAGCGATTTAGCCGAGGAAAACAGGGAGCAAGATGCTGGAGCAGATCGATGCGCTCTGCGTGGCCATACACCGCGGTTGCCTTTGCTGGTCCCTCCACGGTCTCTGGTTGTCTCGAAAGCCCCCCCCCCCCCGCTGCACCACCCGGGTCGTTGGTGTTGTTGCTGCTACAGCAATGGAGAGAGATCTTCGATCGCGATGCTGGGATGCGATTGGTCGATCACTTCAATTACAGATGTAGAGATGGATACACTTGGTGACTCACATTTTCAATTAACTGCCGTCCGCTTCAGCTGCCGGGACTGCCGCGATCACTGCGAACAATGCAATCGCTGCAATCTTGCCCGATGTGGAGAGCAATAGCGACATCGAGCGCCAGAGTGCCCCGCTGTCGCAGTTGAGGACGCGAAGAAGCGGTATCGAGCCGCGTTCGAGAGAAGGTGGAGGTGGGCTACTTGAGCAAGATCAAAGCGCAGGTGCTGCAGCACGTGCGCTCCAAAGGCCCCGAAAGGATGAGTGGCCCGATGGAGCAGAGGTCTCCATGCACAGCCGTGGACACCAAAGGTGTCCATTGCTGCGCGACGAAGATCGGGCTGCAATTGAAGAGGACAGGAAGGGGGCGGCCCCGCATAGACACGGTAGACGAAAGCCAGCGCGTGTTTGAAGTAGCCAGCATGCCATGCTGCATGCGCTGTCTCCTGGTGCTGGTATGGTAGCGTTTGGGCTTCTTGGCGGCTGGCTTGCATTATTTTCGCGCTTGCACCCCAGTGGTTGGGTCAGCAGCAGCACATCTTCCCTAACGAAGTTTCAGCGGCGACGGCGGAGGTCCCCACTCATTACTGTGGGCACTTGTGCTTTCGCGTTGAAGTTGGCCTCGCATCGACGCCGAGTGCTCGTCGATGGTGAAGGCCTGGTGTGACGAAGCACCAGTTCGCCTCCGATTGCTCATGCTGCCCTTAGCTTCAAGGTGGTAAGCCCACGCGCCGCTGTTAAGGACAAGTCTTTCCGGGACGCAGCAATGCCTGCCGGGCGGTCTGGAGCACAAAGCGGACCGCAATGAGTGGTGATGCCGACGTCGCCCGCGTCGCCACCAGCGAATTGCTTGGCCACAAAGGCCACGCGCGGAGTCGCGGCCTGAGACGCGCCAGCGCGATTTAACACACCGCCGGCATGTTTTTTGTCGCTGACCCAACATGGACTCCGAGCCGTTTTGGTGCGTCAGAGCCACGCGCCGCCTCGCCGAGGACCGATGGAAAATGCCCACGGTGGTTTCGTCCGGCCTGCTTGTAAATAGACGCGGGGCCCAGGTTCAAGCGAGCGGAGAACGCCGGCCGGCGCGCGCCAGCTCCAGCGGCTCCGCGGCGGTAAGGAAAGCAGCGTGGCGGCGGTAGACGTCCAGGTCACCGTAGGTCGGGGGGGGGGGGGGGGT